ACCTGGGAAGGGTCATGAGGACATTTCCACATAAGTTAATTTAATTACGACGAAGTTAATTTTACACTGAGAATGATTATTCACTTGTGTAATAACATTTAAGACAATTTTTCAAGGAGTGAACATCTCAGCGAAATCACCACAAGGTTAGATTGTGCAACACTCAGAAATTGCAAAACAAAAAAGCGCAGATCTCCATCTCAGACTCTGCAGGCTTTTGTTTGCATGTTAAAAGAGTCAGAACAGCACAATAAACAAATATAAATGCCAAATATTCCACCAAACAACAATGCATAGCCACAGGTCTCTAGTCTGAGTCCTGCTGGATTAATAGCAAGTTTTCAATTGGCCATGTCTTTATAAGTCCTGATCTTTAGTGTCATAGAGCAGGTGGAACAAACCCTGGATGTGAGTCACCAGAAATGTCTTTGTTTCAAGATTTTGAGTGGCATGATAGGAAAAAAAGACTAAAGTTTCAGGCCAGTTGAGGCACATGGGTCTATTGAAAAAACTAAACTGACCAATGTCCTTTGGACAGATGAAACTAAAGTTCACTTGTACAGCCAGAAAACAACTGTTTTGTTTGAAGAAGGCACATACACCTCATACCACTTAGGAAGCATGGTGATGGAGAAGCAATGAGTTGTACTTACTGGACATTGGCATGGGAGATTCACTGAATACACTTCAGACCCCACTGTATACCAAAGTATTTCAGAGTAAACGTGAGGCCATCTGTCCAACATCTAAAGCTTTGCAGGAATTAAGCTACTAACAGGACTGGGGTCGCAAGCACAGCAAAAACAAAAAAATCTCAATCAGGATGACTGACAAAGAGAGGACAAAGCCGTAAAAGATAAAGAATGTCCTGCTACAACAGAATAAGTAGGACTCTGATTCTGTGTGGGCTTGCCACTGCTGGATCACGGAAAGATTTGCGAAAGGGTTTACCAGACACATATTTACAGCAACCCCAGGGATCAGTGGAGCCTTGAATCCCCACCTGTAAAATGTCACTGAAAATGTCACTAAAACAGAGGACCAAAGAAAGACAAAGGTTTGCCACAAATACGAGTCGCAGTAATAGAAAAAAAAAAATAAAGCTTAAAAACCTTAGGGATGAGTAACGGTAGTAAGCCGTGATTAAGACAAATCGAGTGCAAAGATATGCAAGCGACAACACAAAATGTAAAGCTCCTGTCATTAAAGAAGCAGAAGCACTAGAGAAAGTTGAGTAAAGATCCCGTCTCCTAATAGCAGCTGTCAGATTCTTTGCTTTGAGCGTTAAAAAATGAATCTGTTTGGGCTCGCTGTGTTGTGAGCCAGAGCTCAGTTATGTTCAAAGAACATAAGACTCTCTCTGTCTGTCTGAGATGGCCTCTCCTGGCCTGCACAATGCCTGTGAGACGTGGCTGTTTTCCACACTCTCTCAGCCCAGCCCACCATAGCTCCAGCTTTCTTCTCTTCTTCTGAAGTTTTCTTTCTGGGGAGCATTTCAAAGGCAGCCCCATCTCCACCCCTGTCCAGGCTGAATTTTTCTCCATTTCTCGCTCTAACGTTTAATGCCCTTTTTTCATTCCTAACTCTTCCAATTTCTTTCCCTTTTTTATGTCCGCGGTCCCCGTCGGCCTTTCTCTTGGCCCGCTTCCAGGACAGTTGCAAAGTAAATCACTCAGTTAGCAGGTCCCGTAAGAAAACAGAGAATTCCAGGGAATCCTGAGCCTCTCCCGCCTGCTCTTCCCTCCATTCCTGTCCTGCTGTGATTCCTGTATGCTCCATGTGCAGCTCATGGATTTTAATATGCGTAAAAGATGCTAAGCTTGTGTTCATATATATAGCATGTTGTTGTTGGAATATTGAGGGGAGGATTTTGTGAACAGGTAGCTCTGTAGATGCTGTCAGTCACACTTTATTAAAGAATAAAGTAAAAAAAAAAGAAAAGAAAAGTAATTTTTGTGTCTGTTCATAACCCATATCAATTTTTATTTTGAAAAGATTTCTTGTGAAACTATTTCCTGTCCGCTCACGCATGATGTAACTGGTTTGCAAACGGTGAAAATGTAAGCGGTACGAAGAATAAATAAAACCAGAATCCTGACTTCACATGCAGCTTCTTTGACTTGGTTAAATCAAATGGTCCTGTGTGTGGAGCACCGAGGCCCCATGTGGGATTGCTCAAAGACCTCTTTTGTGGTCTTATGGTGGTTAATTGAGCAAGTGGAAAGGTTGAAAACTGCAATAAACTCTAAATGTTTCCACAGGTGGTGATGGCCCCACATGAACCACCGGTGGTGTTCGTTGATAACTACATCAAACTTCTGGCCGATGGCAACCCGGAGACCTTCCAAAAGATTTTGGATATGAAGGCAAGTTGGTTGGTTCTACCCATGTTTTAAATAAATTGTTGTTCTATTGTCCTAGTTTGTGATAATTCGTTCCAGTGACCTGAAAGGAGGTCTAAAATGACTAATTGTAATTTAAATTAGCCTTTAGTTGAAAGCAGTCTTTCAGTCCTTGATCAACAGTGAGAACAATGTAACGTTTCTTTTCACAATTTTGTTGTTTTTTTAATATTATGGATTTTTTTTATGTGAAATAAAAGTCTGACTGGAGGATTTTAATAAGTGCATTGATGCCCCAATCTTACCATTTATTGTTGGACTACATTCTTTGCATTATTCTGTTGCAGCAACAGGTTGTGTAAGTGCATCTTCCATCACACATTTTACAGGAGCTTTTGAGATTATATCCAGCTTTCATACTGTGATGTGTTCAAGTCCAGTACAATTCTTGAAAGTTCACTTGACATAGGTACAACAAGTTGAAAGTAATTAATTAGTTGGGCCGTCTGCTCCGGTACAACCTGCAGTCGGCTGCATAACAATGGAAGCAGTGATTTTTTTTTTTGTTGTTGTTGTTTTTTTTTGTTTTAACAAGCCACTAACATGTCTTGTTGGCATTTTAGCCCGCTGACCAGCAGTGTGCAGCAGCAGGTGGAAGGGTTACTCTGTGCTCTACACAGATCTGGTCACTCTTTCTGGAGTCTCGATAAAGGGACTTTAAACTATACGAATAGCATGACAGACAGTTTTAGAGGTTATAAAATCTTGCTGTACCTTGATTCACCTAAGAGTTTTTAAGTTCAGCTATTTTGTCCTCCATTGCTCTTTAAACTTATGTACACTTTTTTTTCCCTTCCTTATAAATTAACCCAAACTGGTAGCGTAAGAGAAAGTCCTGGAACTGGCACTGAATGCTAGACCCACACCCTCAAGCATGTTCTGTAATTGTTCCTTTTTATATTCATTGTGTTTTTGGTGCGGGTTTGTGTGGGTGTGCAGGGTCTGAAGCGCAGTGAACAAAGCAGCATGCTGGAGCTCTTCAGGCAGAGGTTACCCACTCCGCCCTCTGGATCTGACAGCGGCCCATCCCTGTCCTTCAGTGCCCCCACCCCAGAGCAAGAGTCGTCTCGTATCCGCAAGCTGGAGAAGCTCATCAAAAAGAGACTGTGAAGAGACTCAGATCTTGATCACAACAGGCGCTGCTGGCGCCTTTTAGGTGTTTTGCAGTTATTCGTCTCAAAGACTTCATTAGACTCCATTCAGTTAGAGCAGAGAGCTACAGAAAGGGGAAGAAGTTGGCTAAGCTTTCTAAGCGATGGTATCACACAAACCCGTCCGATGCTCGGTTATGAAGAAACTTCCTCAACGGTTTGTTGCTGTTGCACACGTCCTGTATTTCTGTACATTTCCACTGTTGTTTCTGTGACACTAACGTCAATGATCTCAGATGGCCTAACGTACTACTGCTGATTAAATTCTGCTCGGAGTGTCTCCTGCTGCTCCTTAATGTACCTAATCATGGATGATTCTAAGATGTTAATTAAATTTACTGTTTCTGAATACTAAGAGGAGGATGGTGTATCTTTGAATGAAATGCTTAAGCATGGAGGAGAGCGAACTGACATGTTATTTGTGTCATCTTTAAAGGGGACTTTTCTCTCGGGTGTTGATGTTGAAAGAGCAGTGGCCTACAATCATCACATACGTCTGGCACAGATCTGCTGTTTCAGTGAGCAGACGATCACATGCAATGTCTTGCAAATTTATTCGTAGCCTTTCAACTTGTTCATGTTCTATCACCCTCCCTGCTTCAAACTCGCATATATGTTATTTAGATCAACATAAAGTAGTACATGACTGTGATGTGGAAGGAAAATAATGCTTTTCATAATTGAGAGTCTGAAAATTGTGCTGTGCATTTGTTTGCAGCCTACTCTGATACCCCTGGATAAAATCTATTGTAATCAGTTTCTTAATGGCGTCCACATATGTGTGATTTAATGTCTGTATAAATAGCTGCTGCTTGAAGGTTTGTTAAAGAACATCAACAGGAGAGGGGATACAAATGAGTGCAATAATTTTCAGTTTTTTATATGTGAATAAAACATATTACTTCCACTTCACAATTACGCACTACTTTGTGTTGGTCTACGGATTCCCAGTAACACACACAGAAGTTAGTGGTTGTAACCTGAAAAATGTCAAAATTTGACATGAGTGTGCATATTGCAAGTGCAGGTAATTATTTGTTTTTGTAACAGTTCAATATTTAGAAATTAGGTTACACAAGTCTGATCAGTTATCAGAGAATGCATCATGTGTAAGAGTCTCTGCAATACAAAGAACTGTTCATTTACTGCACCTATTTATTTTAATTCCAGTCCTCCAGGTTCACCATGCTTCTTATTTCTGGTGTCTGAATTGTACACTCCAAATCCAAGGTTATTAAAACATTTCCACTGATTCCGTCCCCCTTATTCTCTCTATCTAAGTAGGTGGGTGGTGTTTTACTTGCACGCTGTGCACAATACCAGGAAAGCATATCAACCTAAGCTTAACAAGGTCCAATTTCAATGTAGGTCTGGAAAAATTCCCAAATCCTGGCCTGGCCTCTTCTTGCCAATTATCTTCCAACCAATCAGCGCTTGAAAAGGCGTTTCCTTTCCTGTGTTTGTGGTTGTGGAAGCCCCCCTTCGAGGGGCCTGAAGTTTGAAGAGCAGCCGCGGGTGGCTGGTCTAACGCAGTCTCTTTGATTCCTGCACAAATGTAAATGAACGTTCCCACTGTAACTTGTACGTTTGGCGTGAGGCTTGGGGAGTCTGGGGAGCTTTACAATTAAAGTGAAGGAAGCTGAAAGGCAGTGGAGCTGTTCGGGGGTTGAGTCCAACCCCCCCTCAGGTTAATGATATTTCCAGCCTGCAGCCCTGCGTTCAGAACGGGAAGAGGTTTTTGCGGTAACACGAGGGGACACGAAATCTAGGAGGCTTTCTCTGTCACAGGCGGCGTCAGCTGGACTTTTTGCAACTTAAGACCAGAAATGGTTGGTAGCTTGGACTTGCCAAATGTAATAGACGGAGATCCTCTGGATATGAGCTGCACCAGGACTGATAGAGGACTCGATAGCCCGGACTCTGGTCTACCCCCGAGTCCGAGCCCAAGCGCCTGGTTGCAGCCCGTGGGTGCAGAGAAAGCCGGTGGTGTGAACCTGGTGTCTGAGGAAGAAGGAAGGGCCTCTCTGGTATGTATTATCTCCTGTGCTTTACAATATACCCGATGTTATACTCGATGTTATAAACTCAGAGTTCAGATGTTTCATGCTTTTTTAATAAATTTTTAATAATAATCTAACTTTTAAGTCGGGTCACAGGGCATGTTTTTGGTTCTTTTTTCCCCCCAATCAAGTATTTATTTATTTATTTATTTATTTTTATAGATCTTTTAACCAGTAGGATATACTTGTAAGCTCCGGTTTACTGATTATATTAGTACCATATTTGACTCGGCGATGATTTTGATATAGGCATTATGGCTCACCCCCAGAGCGGCACAATTTTGGGGTGGCAGGAGGACTCCACCAATATAAGTTGTAGCTCTAGGAGTTGCCTATATCTTTTTGCATGCCAAATTTATGGGCAGGTGACTAGTGTTGTAATGAAATTTGCTATTTAGTTTGTAGCCAAAGATTTTGAGCTAGATTTAAAGGGCTGTTTTTGCACTTTTGAAATGTTTTTTAGGAGTCAAGACTGCATTTGATTATATGTAATGTAGTGTAAAATACTTGGGCTGGTGAAGTTGAGACTTTGATATTTTATTTTACATTCTAGATAAATGCTATACCAATTCTATTTTGGATAATATAAGACAAATGCTCCCATTTTTCTCAAATATGATTGATTCATGTTGATATTTCTGCATGTGGTGGGTTTATAAGAAATGTATTTATTTATTTAGATCTCAGCTTCAACAAGTGGAAATCTCCCACAACTGCAGCCTCTATCCTTTGGAGAAGGCATAGCCCTTGATTTGCTACCATCAAAAGAACTGAGGTAGGTTGACCTTATCAGAACAAGTAAAAGACATAATCGGTATATATGCTGTCTAGGGCCCAATGCTGCCCTATGGAGTGCTCTGAAAAGTACTTAAAATTTAAGGATAGTTTGGTGAAAAAATGTACTTGTTATAATAAAGGTTAAATGATTCATAAAATAACATTTTCATTTAAAAAAAATTAGAGACTATACAGTAGTTGTTTCATGCCGTTTAAATTGGACTTTACTCTTAATTTAGCTCTGATTGGCTGCAAGCCTCGAGGGGAAAATCTAAATCCATTCATACTTTATATAAACTCTGGGTAACTGCTGGTGACCTTTTGGTGAAACACGGGTTCGCTACGGTTCAGTAGTTGATTGAAGTCTTGATGCTTGTTCACTAACACTTTATCTCATCTCCAGATACACGTCATTCGTGAACTATGACTCAGAACGTCACTTCATCCAAAATGTGGCCCTCCAGCCGAGGGGCCAGGGCCTCCAACACTGCCAGCAGACAATTGTGGCTTTACCGCACAGTACGTGGCGTCACTACAAGACCCAGCTGGACTTCCAGCCCCGCCATCGACCCAACCGCTACAGGAGCACCACGATCATCTACCCCAAGACAACTAGCACAGTCTACATAACGGAGCTGAACTACGACTCCCATCGACTGTCCAGGCGCTTCTTGTCCAGCGTGGAGCTGGAGGTGGCTGGGAGCAGGAGGCTACTTCAGTGAAGGAGGAGGAGATTAGAGGGCCATCCTGTCCTGATGTGCCCACTTAAGTTGCACTGAAAGTCAGTTCAAGCTCACTTTTTTTTTTTTTTTGCTTCTCATCTCAAACAGAAACATCTATAGACTTGGTAATCGTTTCTCTGGCCTATTTTTTTGTTTATAGCCCACCTGAGTGGTAGTTTCTGGGCTGGAGGTCATCATCAAGACCTCCTCCTCTTTGGGCTTTTTAAAATGCATCACTGAAACCTGAACATCTACCGAATGCTGTTATTGTTGTAGTCTTTTATCAGATGTTTTTTGTGCTCCTGCTTGATCAGAGAGTGGAACTTATTTCTGGGATGCGTTTGCTTTTGACGTTTAATGTTGATGCTAGCCACCGACCTGCTGTGGTGTTTGTGCAGCTTCCTTTTAGTTGCTGTCCAAAACTGTGGATAGGATGGATCTGCTCTGGTACAGCAAAGATGAGAATTGATTTTTACAAAGTTGACCTTTTATGTATTTGTAGCCCGGTAGGTTTATTGAAAGTACTATTAAGTGTGCTCCTTTATTCTGTGAGAAGATATTTTTATCTGGGGACAGATCTGAACCAAAATGAGTCGTTTCCGTTAGCACAACCGCTAGCATCTGGTCAAGCACTCAAAGCATTTTAATTTCTTTGAAGATTCATTACCTTTTTAAAGATGCATCAGGGCTTTTAATTGGTCTATGTGTCAATCTAAGTAGTTTTGACATGAGAGGGGTGTTGAACAGGTTGCATTGGAGTTGATGGGTAATGGATGAGATCCACTTTCTTTGTAGGTGAAATTCTTTTCCAAGACTTGCAGGTTGTTAATCTTTCCTTATTTGCAGAGTATTGTCAATGGTGTAATGCAGCGCTCTTCCATCCCTCTTTATAAACAGTAATCTGCACATCCATTTCATGTGATGTAAATCTATGAAGATGTTTGTTTTCAGTGTGTAAATTTAGATTAACCAGGTAGCACAAATGGCACCCGTTTTAGGTATTTACTAATAATGGCATAAATCACTGGCTTATGACATTCCACTACTAATTGTGGTGTGATTTTTTTTTTTATTTATTCTGCGTGAGTTTTTAAAAATGAATTAACATGCTCTTTCCATTGTCGTTCATTTTATTTTGAAATGCCTTCTGTGCCTTATTCATTTCCATCACTTGGTTGATGTCTGAATAAAATAAACACTTATTGAATAAATGAAATTTTGTCTTTATGTTTGAACATCGTATACTTGCACTTGCATATTAGACTTTGTCTGCATGTCAATTTTAACTGATAAACCTTGTTAAACTTTTCTAATCCAAACTTTGGGTAAGATGCTATCAATTAAAATAACAGTTCTTGGTGTGATAAATCTAAATGTTTTGCCAGAAAATATGTTGAGGGTGAATGTGCTCCTAAAATGCACATACACCACGATTTCAATGGCACCAGGATTTATGGCTGCTTTTCAGCCATAAATCCTGCATAAAATTTTTAAAAAATAAATAAAAATAATTTTTCAGAAGGGGGTAATTTGCTCTGTTGACGTTTGTTTCTTTGGGTTCAATCTTTTCAGTCTTGTGCTACTGCAGTGCCCTCTTGTGGCTTTAGCGTGAAGGTACAATGTAAAGGTAATTTTCAAACAAGGTCTGTTCTTGTGTAATCCGTTTATTTTAGTTACTTGTATAATGTGTAGATCTATTAATGCCATTCATGTACCAGAAGTATATCATTGCTTTTTTAGGCACTATTACCTCATGATTTTCAGATCATTTTATTTGTCATTATTTAGCACATGCTGAACTACGCCGGACACAGCTGAAACGTTTTTAAGCACGTCTTGATTTTGCCTGTTCACCTTCGGTTCTTTCCCTTTCAGTAGGGTAAAAGGTTCCGCATAATCCCTGCCCTCCTGCAATTTAAATATTTGATAGTTTTTGTGTCAGGCGCTGAGATTACATTTATTTATTCAAAGATTAGTTGACTTGAAGATTGAAGTTGACATTACATAGTCTACTTTTATGTTTTTATTTTATTTTATTTTTTATTTTATTTCCAAATGTTCCAATTTAAGATCAAGTCTCCACGTATCCTACATTAGCCAACTTTTTTGGAGGTACATCAGGAATTTTGATTTTTTTCCTAGGGACTCTGAAGCCAGCATGACGTCGAAGTAAAACCGGAAAAAAAACGTTAATGTTTTATTATTATTATTATTATTATTATTTTACTATTTTAATTTTTCTACTATCATTTGTTACTTTGGTAGTCGTTCTAATACCGACAAAAATAAAATAATTTTTAAAATGAAGAAGCTGACGCTGTGTTGTGTGACGTTTCGGTTCAGAGGTCTAAACACGCCCACGTTTCCTGCCAGCGTACGCGCGGCTCCTCGGTTGTTTCCACTTTCCACACACCGGAGGATTTGTTTTCCCACCAATGGACGTCTGAGAGAGGATTTTCGTGCTGAATGCCAGCCTCCACTTTATTACGAAAACAATGATATAGATGTCAGGCTGTAGTGTTAGTTTTTCAATCAATGTACTCTGCTTGAAACCCGGATAGTTAGCGTGTGGCTACCAAGTTGTACATGAAGAATGAAGACAGGCAGCGTTAACAGCAGCAGCAGCATCATGGACATGTTTGAACAGGGGAAAGTCCTGAAGATCTGCGCCCCTATGGTTCGATATTCAAAGTAAGATTTTTCTGTAGCTAGCATTGCAATAGATAACTCAGTTTGATCTCCAAAGGTTGTCATTTGTCGCGTGTCTGTTGCTGCTAATATCTGTTTCTCACAGGTTGGCGTTCAGGTCTCTAGTCAGGAAGTACAACTGTGACATCTGCTTTACCCCAATGATAGTTGCAACTGACTTTTTACGATCTGTCAAAGCCAGAGACAGCGAGTTTACCACCAATGAACGTGAGTGCTCTCACTCTAAATATCATCCATTACTTCTTCAATAACAGTGCGCAAATAATTAATTGAAATTGATAAGTTGATTGTGTTTGGTGATGGGATGAATAGAAATACTAACTTGTCCTCAGGTGATCGACCCCTCATAGTGCAGTTTGCTGCCCATGATGCTCAGACCCTGGCTGATGCAGCTTGCGTGGTGGCACCTTTCTCAGATGGAGTTGACCTCAACTGTGGCTGTCCGCAGAGGTGCTGCTTATGGGGGCAGAAGCCCTAAGCCAGTATAGCTTTTACTTATGTTTAATTTCTATCATTACAGTACAGGCAAACACAAATGTTTGCCTGTACTGATTCATGTTCTAGGGACAATTATGCACGAATGTGTTCAACTCAATGCCCTCTGAGCGAATCTCTGAACCTTGCAAATTATTTGATTAGTTTATCTGGTGTGTTTTCAGGTGGGCTATGTCATCTGGTTATGGTGCATGCCTCATTAACAAGCCGGAGCTTGTTAAAGACATGGTGAGACACGTCAGAAACCAGGTGGACAATCCAAACTACACAGCATCCATCAAGATCAGGTAAGCCCTGTAGCACTTGGATAATTCATTGGTCATGTAACCTTTAAAGGGCCCTGTAAAAGTATCCATACCCCTACAATCACAAACCTTAATTTTCTTGGGATTATATTATCAACCAACAGAAAGTAGAACGTAGTGCATCAGACAAGCTAGAAGAGGAATTATATGTGGTCTTCAAAGTTTTATTTGTTTATTTATTTTTACAAATTTCTAGCCAGTCTCCTTTGTCCTGTTACCCATAATTCAAATCCAGTGCAACACATTGCCTACATCACCCACCTACTTAGTAAACAATCTGTCTGTGTTTAATTTAATCTCAGGACAAATCCAACAGTTCTATAAAGGCCTCAGTTCTATAGCAGCATCATGAAGAGATGCACAAAATAGGTCATGGAGGAAATTGTGGACACATTTAAAGCAGGATTATGTTCTAAGGCAAAATGAAAAAACTTTAAGCACTATTCAAAAATGGAAAGGAGGAGTGTAGCACAACCTACCCTATCAAGATATGGCCATTCATCTATATGGACAGTCCTAAAAAAAGAAAGCTCTATCTATACAAACGTTGTAAAATTTTTGTACAGAACACAGCTCTCCACCTAACTGATTAGCAAGGCATAGCATAGCATAGCGAGGCCTATGGTAGGTAAGTCAAACTTAACAGTTCAAATATCTATTAGTTAAGATGTTTGTCGACTGCTTCATTTTCCTGTCACCTGTGGTTGTGACGTGACAAAATGTGGAAACTTAAAGGGGTTAAAGGGGCTTTTGCCACTTTAATTCTAAGTAGCAGTTTGTTTTACAGTGTTGTTCTAAAGAAACTACTGCATCCACAGGATCCACAAGGACTTGAGGAGGACGGTGGATCTGTGTCAGAAGGCTGAATCAGCTGGTGTGTCGTGGATAACAGTCCATGGTCGTACAGCAGAGGAACGCCACCAACCAGTTCATTATGACGCCATAAAGACAATCAAGGACAGTGTATCAGTTCCTGTCATTGCCAATGGAGACATAAAGTACCTTCGTGATGTGGAGTCTACTCACCAGCTTACTGGTGTGGATGGTATGTTTGCTTGACCAGCCGTCATACATTCATGACTAGCAGCATGTTTCCTTTAGTTTCTAATGCTTTCCTTGTTTGGGCCGCGCTGTGCAGGTGTGATGGCCGCTCGGGGTTTGCTGGCCAACCCCGCCATGTTTGCAGGATATGAGGATACTCCGCTGCAGTGCATATGGGACTGGGTGGACATTTCCGTTGAGCAGGGCACTCCATTCACATGCTTTCATCATCATCTTATTTACATGCTGGAAAGGGTCACCTCCCAGCCTGAGAGAAAGGTGTTCAATTCCCTGTCCAGTACCTCTTCTGTAATAGAGTACCTCCAGAACACATATGGGACAGTTCAAGATATTGAAACATGAGCATTAATGAATATCATCACTTTACTTTTTAGTATTTTTATGGTGAATAAAAGTTTAAAGTTTTGTCCTTATTATCATCTTTACTTAGGTATTTTCCTCATGCTTGTGTAAATGTTTTCTATTAATTATTTTTTTAATGGTGTTCTTTCAACCAGCACCCTGCCCAACTCTGCAAGGACAACTGTGGCTAGATAATGGATGGATGGCCTTTCATGTTAACATTTATACCAAAAAACTGTTTTGTTTGTATGTATCCAGTTTTTTAGACATAAAAAGATTAATATTATTGAATTTAAAACTATCATCATGTGGCAAGTTAACCAGAACACTTAATGTAAAATTATTGGCGTTTGTTTAAATGCATAGAAACCTACAACGCTAGTTTTTATGTCTTTTAAAATAGCATTAGGTATTTCAAACATGAATACATGGCGTTTCACAAACAAAACTCAACCAAACTAAACCAAACCAAAACATTTATAACAATTTAAAACGGAACGTAAAAGCGGGAACGTGTCGAACGTCATATTGTACGTCAGAAGTTGTCATATTTTGAGTGGCATCTTGAGCCTTACGCAGCCACCTGTATAAAGTTGACAGTGGTTTGTTATCTATTCAATTTAAGCAGCAATAAGTTCTTCACGGTAGATTCAAGTAAATGAACATATAAAATATGAATCCATTAGCCAAAACTAAATACTGTCAATAGTTTCACTCATTGACAGTATTTGGTTTCACTCATTTGTGATAAAAAAAAAAAAGTATTCCTCCCTACAGATTACACCCTTAAAGGTTTCAGAACAAATGTTGATATATAAAAATATTTATTCTTATTCTGCATGTCTGGCAGTATTCAGTGTTTTTATTTAATGGCGTCATGGTTTAACAAAAAGGGCTATATACTGAAGGGTCTAGATAGCTTTTTAGTAATTTTATATTATCATGTAAACAGAATGTCTATTTATCGAAAATATGTACTTTAGTACATATTTAGTAGTATATTAGTAGTAGTAGTATATTTAAAGAAGTAAATTAAGATCTAATGTAAGATTTAGTTTTATTCGATACAGTGTTCATTTTTCCCCTGTCACAGTAAAATGAACCTATGTTATTGTGTACAAATTAGCTAAAATTAGTTGATTCTAAAGTTTGGTGTCTCTTTTTATTTAAAAAATGCTCCAGTTTCCAAACAATGTGAAATTATCAAAACAAAGCAAATATGCCACTCCAAATATGGCGGACGCGCTAACGTGTCTTTTCTACGGGGCGAGGAAGCCGAAGCGTACTTATCAGTACTTATCAGGCTGAAACAGGAAGAGGTAAAACAGGAAGACAAACTTTACTCTATGAAGAAACTCCTCCTCAGTTAGCGTTTTGGCTATTTACTGGTAAGTCGTAGTTGTAAAAGCAAAATACAACCTGAACGCTGTATTTACTGCTAATCTAAATTCTGTTCATGGCGTCATTTCCTTGTTAACAGTAGCACTAGCCTAAGCAGTAAGTGGGTTAGACAAGATTTGTCAGATATGAAAACGGTGTTTCACTGCACAAATTAACTTTGTGTTAAACACTTTGGAATCTGCTCTTATTTCATATAAAAACCTTTTTTTCTCAGTTGCATTCGAAAAGCAACACCTGCAAGTTAAAGTTCTGTGATTTGTAAACAAGGGATTTAGGTTCTATTTTCTGCAAAACTAGCTAAGAAGCACATTCTTAGCACATTTGTGCTCTAGCTTATGTCTTGTGAGTTAAGAATGTGTTCATACGTGAAGCTGGTTAAACTTGTTTTGAAGGCTCTTAATCTTATCTGTGTTTCATTATTTTCAGAATTGAAAGATGACTTTACAGTGGACTGCTGTGGCGCTCTTTCTCTATGTAGAGATTGTCGTCATTCTCATCCTCTGCATACCTTTCATTCCAGCCAGAAGGTAGGAATGGAAGTACCTGGATGAGATATTTCTTTTTTTTTTTTTTGGCCCAAGTAGTGACATATTATTTTGAAGCACATTCCTAATATTTCAGTTTAGTTTTTTGAATAGCGCCAATGAAATAGTTATGCGCTGGTGTAAGTTGTGGCTTTCACTCATCTCCATGCAAAACTTCTATCTTGAGTATAGAGTAGGACGAGAAAAGCAGTACATTAATATTAAGGAGTGTACTTTTAATACTCCTTTTTTGCCCATCCTCAAAATAAGCTGAATTTCAGCTGAGTACTTGCCACCCTGCTAGAGCATAATGTAACATAATCTAAATACACTTTGTGACAGATGTCGCAACATACAGGAATAGACACAAGTTTCTGAACAATGTTTCTTTTTTTTCCCCCCTTGCAGATGGCAGAGTATTTTCCAGCTAAGAATTTGGAGCTGGATGGCGAGATTCTGGAACAAAGTTTTCCTCACCATGATCATAGTCCTTATTGTTCTCTTTCTTGGTAAGAGTAAATGTCTCTGGCCCAATCCATGCTACCCGCAATTTTTGGGCTATCTTGCCTTGACATTGCACTCATGAACAAACAATCCCATACTCGCATGTATTTAAGTATTTTGATGAAATATTTAAATAATCGTGATATTTAGGAAATTTCACCTACTGTTGATTTTAACCATTTTTCTTGAAATGCATTAACAATACCAAGAAACCAATATTTTTTATGTATTTCTTTTATTTGTTTTGGATTGTTTTTATTTTTGGGACAGGTGTCCGACACAACAGCAATCCTTGGACTTGGATTCCAAAAAAAATGTTCAAACTAAGCAGCACTTTTCTCTCTAAATATCATCTACAGATCCTCAGTTCTTTTTGTTTTTCTTCAGATGCCGTACGAGAGGTCAGAAAATACTCAAGTAAAGAAATTGGCACAGATGCTAAAGTGCAACCAAACATGTTTGACCACCTTCACATGAAGCTCTTCCGGGCTCAAAGGAACCTCTACATCTCTGGTTTCGCAGTCTTCCTCTGGCTGTGAGTTTCCAAATTAATTTACTGTAAACCCAACCGTCTGTTTAAAGATGCAGTATGTAACTTTTGTTAAAAAAAACAAATGCTTTTTACATATTTGTTAACACTATGTCCTGACCTTATAATATGATACTAAATAATCAGTGAATAAAGCAAATGCTTCCCGGTCTGAAACAACCAATCAGAGCTGGGAGGAGAGTCTTAGCTCTGTCAATCATCCTCAGGTAAGTGCTGCCTTGCTGTCCCCTTATGCTCTGCTGTTGTTTGCAGGGTTATGAAGCGAGTGATCACTTTAATTAATCAGTTGGCGGCCGTGTCGGGGACCACAGCTGCTCTGCAAATGCAGGCTGATGATGCTAATAAAGCAGTGGAGAAGTACACAAAGGACAATGAGCTGCTGAAAAGGGTAGGCCTCACTTATTTTTCCAGTTACTAAAGTAAATGAAGATTTTTATTTCTTATTGTTTGCAATGTTTTTCCTTCTTTGTGGTGCCGATCTTTCTTTTTTTTTTTTTTTTTTTTTTTTTTTGTTTTTTCTCTCTGTTGTGTTTGGGTTTTGTGTTTTTT